TTAGTTCTATTTAGTTAATCTATTTTCACTTACTGTAACAAAATACCTGAGACGATCAACTTAAAGAGAGGAAAGGCTTATTTGGCTCACAAATTTGGAACTTTCAGTCCATGGTCAGTTGGCCTTGTTACTTTTGGGCCTGTGGCAAGGCAGCACATCATGGTGGGAGGGCACATGGTGGAGCAGGCTATTAACTTCATGGTGGCCTGTAAATAAAAAATGAGACAGAACTGGACTGTATTCCCACAATCCCCTTTGAGACCACCCCAGTGACCTAAGACTTCCTACTAGGTCTCATCTTTAAAAGGAGCCACCACTTCCTATTAGCAGAACAGGCTACCAATCAAGCCTTTAACACCTGGGCCCTTGGGGGACAGCTATCTAAGCCATAGCAGCATCCTAACACAGTACCACAAACTGGGCAGCTTAAAAAACAAAAACCTGCCTCCACCTGCCCCATAAGCACAAGGTCCCAAGTTCGATCCGTGGTACCAAAAAAAAAACAACAACAAAAAACAAAAATCTATTCTCCCACTGTTCTGGAGGCCAGCAGTCTAAAATGACAGTGTTGGCAAAACCAGGCTCTCCCCAAAGGCTCTAGAGGAGAGTCCTTCCTGGCCTGTTCCAGCTTCTGATGGCCCAGGCATTCCTCACTTTGTGGCTGCATCAGACATCTCCATTGGCACATGACCTGTCTCCTCTGCTTTGTGATCTCTCATAAGGACACTTGTCCTTGGACTTGGGCTCACCTGGATAATCCAAAATGATCTCTTGGGGCCAAGGATTTAGCTCAGTGGTTCCAGCGACTGCCTCGAAAGCACAGGGTCCTGAGTTTGATACCCGGTAACAAAAAAAAAAAAACCCAAGCAAAATGATCTCATTTTGAGACCCTTAACTTCATGACATCTGCAAAGATCCCTTTTCCAAAATAAGGTCACATTCACAAGTTCTGGGGATTAGGACTCACCGTATCTTTTGGAGGTCACTATTCAAGCCACTACAGCAGGGACACCGGAGACACAGCTGAGTGAGACTGGACAAGAGCAGGAGCAGACAGGGGACACTGAGCTTTCTGAGCCTGTGGGCTGCCCATGTCTGGCTCTTGCCTGTGACACACTCGCATTCTGGGGAGCTGAGAGGGTTCCAGCTGGCCTACTGGGCACAGAGGCATGGGGCCTAGGGTGCAGGGCCAGAAGAGCGCCTGCTGACAGGTAGAGCCTTCCCGGCTTTGATTCATTGACCGTCTGGGCAGGAGCTGGACCAAGCTGCCTGAAATTACAAAAATGCCTCACATATTTTCCTCTCTGCCAGCGGTTTTGCTCTCAGCCAGCAGAGCAGGCCAGTCTGCTCGCTTACCCCTGCTCAGTCCCCATGCCGTGGCTGTCTGCGGCTCTCCTTCTGCATCCCACCAGGATGCCTGGTCATTAGGGCTGGCTCAAGTGGGCGGAGCTTAGCCACGTCCTCATAATTGAAATATTTGCCTCCTGAAGTGAGGCCAAAGCAGGGTGGAGCTCACCCCAAGTCAAAGGGACAGATTCAAGCTGAGCCCTCTGCAAGGGCAAGAAGAGATGCAGGAGGTGTCCTAGATGCTGCAGTCAGTGGCCCATCAAAGACTTTCCATCTGGGTCCAACAGGACCCAAAAGGCCCTGGAGCAAAGCAGGGTCAGAGACTCAAAGTCATCAACCCCCAAATCCCTCACCAGACATTGTGCATGCTTCTTAACTCTCTCCTCCCAGCATCCGACGGGATCACCTGGCAACCCTCTTTCAGCTTTCACAGATTCTCCAGAAGGGAAGAAGTCATCTTATGTCCCTTTTGTGGGTATATTATATGTCAATAAAAAGGTTTTTGAAGCCAGACATGGTTCACGCCTGTAATCCCAGCACTCTGGTAGGCTGAGGCAGGAGGATCTCAAGTCTGAGTCCAGCTTGGGAAACTTAGAGACTTAGCAAGACCCTATCTCAAAATAAAATTAAAAAGGGAGAGAGCCAGGGATTTAGCTCAGTGATTTCGCCGCTTGCTGCGCGAGCGCAAGGACTGGAGTTCAATCCCCGGTACCAAAAAAAAAAAGGCGGGGGGGAGTGGGGATGTAGCTCAATGAAAAGGCCCTGGGTTCAATCCCTAGCACCATTTTTAAAACAGATTTTGAAGCCCTGAGAGCATGCAGAATCTTTTGAGTCGTATGCAGCCCCTACCCTACTTTCAAGTCTCAGAAGTCCAGCGCCCCCCTGGGCCAAAGCCCCAGTTTGTGCCTGTGTCAGACTGGCTGCTCACAGAATCCCCTTCACTGGGTTGCACTTCACAGGGCTGGACTCTGGCTTTTGCAAAGACTGCTGCAGAAAAAGCCCCCCAGGAATCCACACGTGCTAAAAGGGGAGCCCACAATGTCACTCACTACCTGCCATGGTTTCAGAGAAGAATTCCCTTTGAGACCCAGACCCACTCCCAGGCTCTACTTCCTCTGCGCCTCCTCCCTCCTAATTATGAGAATCACATAATAAGATAACATTTCCCTTTTTCCTTTAGCTGCCAGGAATCTCAGAGCCATCTTTGAAGTTCAGCCATGGTAATTACATGGCGCTTGTGATCTGAATTATTTATTTTCTTTCTTTCTGTGGTCTTATTTTCTCAGTCTGTTTATATCTTCTCTGATGCTGATTCTCTGACTCTTTTATTGGTATTTTTATTATGTATCTTCTGTTATAAGCTGTGTTAGATGCTATTGAGAACAAAGAGGACTTTAAATTAGGAAATAAAGGCATTTCCTTTCCTTTATGATGTTCATGTGTATTGCTGCAAACATGGTTGTTTTGGTGTAGTAAATAAATTCCTTTTCTGTATCATCTTTAAATTTAAGAATTTACCTGGGAGATTCTCTTTCTTCTAGTTGAGCCCCTTGAGTATGAAGTCTGCTGCAGAGAAGCCTTTATCGGTCTTGACCAGGAACATGAACAGGACGATGACCATAAACATCAACATCAAGAGCATCTCATGGCTGGGGTGTAGCTCAGTGATACAGCACGAATTTAGCATGAGCACAAGGCCTTGGGTTCTATTCCCAGGCCATATACATGCATATCTGCATATGCGCTCACGTGAGCACATGCACCACACACACACACACACTCTCTCTCTCTCTCTCTCTCTCTCTGTCCCACCCCATCCTCAGTTTCTTCATCTGTATAATAAAGTGAATATGCAACCCTAACTTCACAGAGGGGTAGGGTGCATCTAATGATAGGTGAGAAAATGCTTTGTAAACTCTAAAGTGCAGGCCCTCATTGAGCCCTTGGACTTGTATATGTAGTAGGGTAGCTGTTGGCAATTATCCTCTTAGATCGGAGGGCCCTATGTTCTGTTGGATTCCTGAGAGCAGGGATGGGGAAAGGCTCGGCTGGGAATCTGGGCAGCCCACGTGCTCCACCTCATACCTAAGGTCACACGGCCTCTGTACCTATGTGTCCTATGGGCCTGAGACTCAGGTTGCCCACGAGGGAACAATCTGTTTGTCCACTCTGCTCACCCCATTCTCATCATCAGCCGAGAGGTGGCCTAGAACTCAGCTGTCTAAATCGTCCCTTCCGCATTCTCTAGGGGAGAGTGACCCTATCACGGGCAAAAAAGGCACCAGGGATCTAAGATTCATTCTGCTTCACATCTCCCTCCACCCCAGGATGGTCAGGCTGGGTCCCAAGAGACACAAAATTCACCCAGCATTTCTACCCCTGCTCTCTGGTTCTTTTGGGAGATAGAATGACATCCACCACTTACTCTTCTTGCAATTTCACAGAAAAGAGAGCTGAGCTCACAGAACGGGTCCCAGGCTGGATTGAGCAGTGATAGAGCCGGACAAGGGCCCTGGCTGGCCCTTCCCAGTCAGCAGGCCACCTCCCTTCCTCTACAGATTGTTTTGCCTCTCATTTGGAGGGTGGCCCAATAACCAGTTAGTGGTCTATTGTTCTTTCTGGCCTGGGTGAGACCCTCTCCCTGGTAGAAAATTCCAGACACCTGGACCATCTATCCAGCCCCACAGATGGCCACCATCCCCGTCATTCCCTCCCTTTCTGTGCTTTGGCATTTGTTTTGTTTTCCTATAGTCTCTTACCAAAGGTTTCTTTAGAAAAGCTTTACCCTTGTTTTCCCTTGGTGATGGAAAGGATACCCCCACCCCTGGGTACTGCAAGGGCCTACTGGCAGGTATGGCCTCAGAGAGCTGGAGGGCAAGACCTGGGGCCACTCCAGGTCTCTGTCTGTGACTACCCAATTTGAACCTTACTTGCTCCCCCAAAGAAAGGGTCCCAGGAAGCTGGGAAGAAGGTTGCTATGAAAATTATGCTCCCAAGTGTAAGGCAGGACTGCAGCAGGGCCACTATGAGCTGCTCAGGCCCAGGAAAGACTGACTGAGAAGTCATCAAGGTGGCAGGTCAACTCTGGCCTGTGTAAGTGCAGGAAGGACTTTCTCCTTCTTGCCCTGGAGTCTTTTAGGCCTATCCTTCTTAAGTCCTTCTGGGTGGTCAATGACCATTTCTGGATAATAGAGACCTCTGCAGCTGGTATCTTCCAAGTCCCTAAAGTTCCACATGGAGGAAAGAACATGAGATTCGGAATTGAAGAGGTGGCTCTAATTGTTCCTAAATACTTCAGATGGCCCTGAGCATTTGGTTTCATCTCTCTGAGCCTCAGTTTCTTCCTCTGTTAAATGGGAATAAGTCAGTGGGGTTACTGTGCGAATTTAGTGAGCAGCCAAACAACACCCCTCCCCATAGATGAGTGATTCATCCCCTTCCTTGGTGGCATCCCATTACCTAGACATCATCCACTTTCTGCCTGGCCAAAATTCCACTCACCCACCCTGTCAGTGCCAGAACCCTTGGCCAATGGAGGCTCCCCACTTTTCCCACCCTCCTGCCCTTTATCCAGCTGAGTCCCACCCAGGTGGGCAACCAGGACAAGGCCAGTCCCTACCCCTCCTGTCTCCCCACATGAATACACTCCAAAGTACTTGCCAAGATTCTTTATTAGTTTCTCTTTTTTCTTAAAAAAGTATTCCTTTAGTATAAAAAATAAATATTTTAAATATGACATTGAATAAATAAAAATAATCTGTCTTTATGAAACATTCCCACAGGGTACATTCATCAAAGAGGAATTTATCAGCCAAGGCCAAGTCCTTTCCAGTGGAAAGGAAGGAGGGAAACATCTAAGGCCCCACAGTAGGCCCACTGAGCTAGCAGTGCAAATGGGAGATGGAGCCCAGGTACCAGGGCCAGGTATGGGGGCTCTAGATTATTCTGACATAGGAACATCTGTACTATCTGAAAGGAAATTGCTACCTCGCTAGATTCTGAGGCTCCAACCCCATTCACTAAGTCTGCTCTGGAGACCTGGCAAAGCAGGGCTGAACTGACTTAATTAGGGTTGGGGATAAGAAAGAGGATGAGGAGAGCCAAGTAAACTAGCAGTGCCTTTGTGGTTTAAATTTTTAAATAATAAATAAGGACCCCTATACTTCTTTTTTGATAAACTGCAAAATGACTGTCTAGCCCATCCTCTGCAGAAGATCCATCCTTTATCCTCTAGCCCAGGCACATGACCCACCATGCCAGGTGGGAGTTAATACCAATAGGCAAAAACATGGAAATGTACTGCTCGCAAAGCTGTTCACATAAAGGCTCCATAATTCAGTGATACTGTGCAAAGTGGGCGCCGATCTGCCGGAATTAGATCTAGAAAGAACACTGAGGATTGAGTCCTTCAGGCAGAGTCCAGGCTGGACAGAGAGGTCAGGGAGCCAGGGGTTGTGCAGGGAAGGAGAAGATTCTGTTGGTCCTGAGCCTTTTGAGGCTGCCAGGTGGGTCCAGGCCAGGGAATCCATGTCCACAGGGAGATGGGATGATGGCAAGCTGAGCTGGCCCCAGGCTACGGAATCATCCATCCTGGATTCCAGACAAGCTGTCTTTCTTTTTGCTTGGCTCAGAAAGTGCAGCCATTCCCAAGACATGCCGAAAGGAGCAGAAGAATAGAAGAGTGGCAGGCTGTGATCTTGGGACAGGGGTGTGACCCAAATTGAAACAGCATTAGAAGAGGCACAACTGTTATGACCCCCTTGGCCACATGCGCAACATCTTAGTCACACTGTTGGGACGCACAATTCCTAACCTTCCTTATCTCAGACCTCGGGGCCCACCCACTGGCTGCCCACCTGCCATCCAGGTAAAGTGCTTAGAGAATAAGAGAAAAAGGTACAAAGTGAGTGTGAAGTACCATCTTCAGTACCGTAATCTTGTGCCTGAACTACTAGGACTGCCGCCTGCTCAAGGTTTGAGAAGCAGCCAGAATGCTGCTCTCAGCAGCTGCCCTGGTTTGGCTGCCTCCCTCCCTCTCTTGCTCCCAGACCGAGGGCGTTTCTCTGCTCTTCTGGCCCCGGCGTAAAGGAAGAGATCAGATCGGGTTCCCTGCCTGGGAGCCCAGACATGGGTGGGAGTGGGAAGGAGGCACTGTAGCAGGGACCACAGCTTCCTGGTCTGCTTCCCAAGCATCTCAGGTCTCACTTTCCCTGCTCCAGAGCACAGGGGCAGCTCCTCAGTCCGCACACTGCCCCAACATCCTGCACACACACTTGGTGGGTGTTTAAGCCACCCGAGGAGCTTCTCCACCATGCAAGAGTGTGCAGGGTCTTGGGTCAGGCTCATTCCCATTGTGTGATAAAGAAGACATGGGAGCAGCCTTGCCCACTCCCCCAGGGCCATTCATTTCCACTGTGAATGGTGCCAACACAGCACAATTCCAGGGGATGCTAAAGAGCACGGTGGGAAAGAGAGCTCCTTCCCCTCCACAAACTGGTCCAGCCCCTGCTGCCTGTCCCTGACACCCCCAAGTCTAGAGAGAAGGGAGCAGGAACTCTAGCCAGATGTCTCAGACTCTGACCCCCTCTGAGCTTCACCTGTAAGGCTAATTCCACTTGTAACATGTCAGCTTCTAGACCAGGCCCTGCCAAGAGGCTCAGCTCTGGTTCCCTGCTGGGTAGGAAGCAGGGGAAGGGATTAACTTTACCATTTAAAGCACCAATAAGTTAACATAAATAGGACATCATAATAAATAGATAATCACGGTGGGCCAGACACACAGCAAGCTTGGATCTCAGGCTTCTCTGAGACTCTGACCTCAAGTTCTGTGGGCCTTTGCTCTAGGGACTCAAAACAGGTTCTGGTCCCCGTCAAGTACCTTTGTGTGACTTCACAGGGCCTCTACAGGCCTCCAATGTGAGCTGCTACTCTGAGCTACTTGTCCCCTTCCTGTCCCCAAGAGGAAGATTCTAGGACCCCTCTGGACCTCCTCACCTGTCTCTGCAACCTGCCCCTACCCACTTCCATGTACCCGATTCCAGACCCAGCCACCAGAGATCCTGGCCATGCCAGGCTGTAGGAAAAAAAGGTGCAGAGAAGAGGAAGAGGAGCCCATCAAGGCTTTGGGGGCCTCTCTTCCTTCCAGCATCTTCTTTCCCAGGCTTGAAGGTGGCCTCTCTGCCTCCCCAAGAGCCTGAATACCAGTGCCCAGCTGGAACCTTCTACCTGACAATACCTAGGCCTAAGCTTTCTGATCATGTTCAAAAGAAGACAGCATCCTACCCCTTCTCTATCTTCTACCCACTAAATTTGTAAGGGACAAGGAGTTCTTCAAGACCTCAGTCCCTCTGGCCTGTCCATGTCCCAACTAAGCCTTCCAAAGTCTACCTAAGGAAAGGCAAAGCCACAAATGGCCGTCATTCCACTGGGAGCTGGTGACACCCTTCACGGCCTCACTGTCAGGGGCTGCTCTAGACAACTTGTTCCATTTGAGCAAGGTCTGAGGGGACAAGTGGAAGCAGAAATGCTCCCTACATGTCACTCCCCAGTGTGACACCCTGGTTACTGTCTCCCAGAGGAAGGGTGCCTCCTTCTGGGCAGTGCTGTATATAGGCCCTGACAAGCTGGGAACCCCTTGGGGGCTGCCAGCAGCCCCCAGTTGGGATAAATGATGCCCATCAATGATGCCCAGCCATACTGTGAGAATCTCCCACATCTGGATCCTGCTCCTGAGATCCCTCAGTCCGTGACACACTTCAAGACCTAAAAGGACTGAGTCACTACGCCAATGACTTGCTTGTACTTCCCCAGCAGTTGACATCCCAGCTTCTTCTTCTGGAAGACATCCTTGCCTGAAGTGTCGGGGCCATAGGCCACGTCCACATGTGCCACGTGGTACTTGTTGCACAGACGGCAGTGTACATTGCTGAGGACCCCCCGCATAACATCTGCAGTGGCACTGAGCTTGCTATGAAGGCTGAGTGCATTGGGGTTCAGGAGCTTCTGGTCCTGAGTGATGTTGCCCAAGGAAGCACCAAGGTAGGCGATGATGCGATACAGCTCCACCAGCTTGGCCTTCTCCGTGCCATTGGCATGGAAAGCCGGGAAGTCCGTCACATTGGGAGCGCACAACTTGTCCAGGTTGCTGGGGAATGGATCCCCCTGGGCTGTGTACTGAGGAGCAGAAGAGCAGAGGGCAGGGGGAGTCAAGGGTTGGAATCCAGCCCTGCTACCAGCCTCCAGCCAAGCTTGAAAGCTTCTGTTTCCCCACCTATAGCATGGGGACCCAACTCCTTCCCCTGCAGGTATCCAGAATTGTCATGAGAGCTGGAAGTAATCACAAACGTAATCAAACTTGCTAGTGATCAAGGCCTAGACCAGCCATGGGGAACCTTTTAGAGCTTTCAATGATAATGAACAGCCAGCTGCGGCACGTGTGCCATAGGTTCGCTGTCACTGGCCTAGACCGTGTAAACAGTTGTCATCATCATCACCATGACCATACCGGGAAGGAAAGGAAAATGTGGCATCTCACTGGTGACTCCTCAGCGGGTACACCACACACACTTACTCTTTCACTTACCACACCCACACGCTCCCTCTTCCTGGGCGTCCCTCCAGGCACCCACAGCCCCGCTTTTCTCCTTGTCCACTCACTGCCTTATTCCCCTTGATCTATCACAAGACTAGAAGCACCAGGGTCCTCCTCATCCCACCTCTGCCCTTCACTGGCCAGCCACCTTGAGAAAGTGGCTTCCAGTCTCAGAACCTGGGGACATGAGGAGGAAGGGCTGGGAATCTGGATGTCAGTTAACCAAACCTATTCTCACTGCCTCCTTCCAGCTCCAAAAGGGTCCCCTTCAGACAAGGCCAGCTACCCATATTTGTAAGTCCCTCCCTCCAGGTATCCTGCAGGGTAACTTACATAGAGAATAAAGAGGGCATTGGCGCTGCTATTGAGCTGTGCCAGTTGGTTCCTGATCTGGCTCATGACGCTGCTGTGACATTGGTGACGCGTGGCACAGGTGGCGTTGACAGAGGGAAGAGGGCTTCCTGCACCATATTTCCAGTGCAGAACCAGCAGCAGGGGCATGACTCCTGGGAACAGGAAAGGGAGCGATGAGCATGATGGGTGGCTTGGGCTGCATAGCACCCTGGATGGGAATCGGCCAAGGGGCTCACAGGACAGGATTCCCATTCTGCCCTCTACCTCATCCTCTGGCTCCTCTGGCCATTTCTAGTTTTCCTCTCATCTTTTTCTCTGTCTCCCTATCTCCAGATCTCTAGCTCTGCTTCTCTCTGCCTTCCCATCTCTCCCTACTCTCTCCTCGGTTGAGTGACTGGGCAAGAATGCAAGAAGGAGCCCTTCCACCAGCTGGAAGCTGGGCCCAGAGCAACTGTCCAGCCTTCCTTCAGGAAGGTGAAGGCTCCAAGCGTCCTGCCCTCTGTCCAGGAGGCATCATTTTCCAGGGGAGAGGAGATCCCTGTCCTCCCACCTCCCAGGATGGTCCAGATGCCTAAGCCCTGCCTCACACTCACTGGCCCATTTCAGGCCAAACCTCCCAAAGGACTCCCTGGGGACAAGGTTTGGGAGCTTCTGTTGCCCCTCTTATCTAAGCTGCCACTTGATTCTGGCTTCATGAGCCAATTGCCCCTAATTCTGCTATCCTCAGCCCGTCTCTGTCCTTCCCAGTGTGGCCACTTCCCTATCCAGGACCCTCAACTCCACCCCCAATTCTGCAAGTCCCTCTTTCCAGCCCCAAATCTTCCATCCTTTGGGGTGGGGCCCCACCCCCTCCCCAGAATCCATTCACTCTCCCCCCCGGGTCTATTGTCTCTGGTCCCAGGCCCTGGGTTAGGGCAAGGACCACCTGGCTTTGGGAACGGAGAGAAAATGGTGCAACCAGGAAAGAGGAAAGGGAAAAGGTCGCAGGCAGCTGGGGCCGGGAGGGTGGAAAGTGAAAGGTGCCAGGAGAGCTGGGAGCTGTCCGGGCCTGTCCCGCTCACCCCTCCCCCCAGGCGCCGGAAACCCCTTCACCGCAGGCACCCCAGGCCTGCCTTTCCAGGACCCAGCAGAAGGCGCCTGAGGGTCCTGGGGACTGAGAGCAGCGGACCAGAGAGGCTGGAGACCTCCGGCAAAATCCCCCTACGGGGACAGGAGCCTCAAGTTCACTTCCTCTGGGTCTCCTTCGCCTCCAAGCATCCCCAGGCCGTGTGAAGGTGCCAGAATGGCTCGGGGAGAGGGCCCGCACCCCCATCTCACCTAGCGCAGACCTCACGCTTTCCAGGCACTAGCAGTTGGAGGCAGCACCTGCTCCCGTCCCGAGCCGGAGTTTGCGAGCTGCTCAGCGGCCCGCGCCCCTCCCAGGGAGCAGCCCGGGACGCAGTTGGAAAAGAGAAAGCGGAAAGAAAGAAAGAAAAAGAAAAGAGGGAGGGTGAATCCTGGAGAAAGCGGAGAAGCAACAGCAGCGCGGGAGAGTGGTGGAGCGAAGAGGAGGAAGGCTGTTCGGCCCCCTCCCTCGCCTCCAACCTGCAGCCCGGCGGGCTGGGCGCACGGAGCCCGGACCATGTGCCGCGCTCGCTCCCGGTCGCCTCCCAGCGCCTCCGGCGGGCCGGGCGGGCTGCTCGGGCGCCCCAAGTGTCCGAGCGTCTGCGGCGGGAGGCGTCCCGCGGGTGCTTGCCAAGCGCCCCAAGCTGCCGCCGCTCCCGCCGCAGGGACGCGGAAGCTGGCACGGGCCAGTTGGATTTACCTGCTGCCAAGACCTTCATTATGGACTGGACTCCAGAGGGCCTTGGAGGAGACCTGAGATGCCGGCCGTTTTCAGAGGTTCATGCTCAAACGGGGAATTTGCCTGATTTATATACTGGAGCCTGTGTTGTAAGACAGAGAAACAGCTATATTTAGCCGGGATCCCCGGTCCAGGAAGTTGCTTGAGGTGCATCATAGGAAATTATGAATGGAAGAAAAGTGAGAGTGAAGGGGGGTGGGACAAGTGAGGGAGGAGGGTGGGGAGGGCAGATTTTTTTTCCCTCTTCTAAGAATTTGATTGATAAAATTATAATGAAGTCGTCAACAGAACGAAGGCCCTGTGGTTTTCCTGAGAGGCTTGCCCTGGGTGGTGCTTGAGGATGGGCCTGGTGGGGACAGAGCTCCAGGCCCTCGGTGAGGGGTCCCTCTAATCAGGGGCAGCCCACATGGCCCTGACTCACCTAGGCTTGGGGAAGTGGCAAGACAGGAAAGGCAGGTGGAGACTGATGCCTGTGGTCCCTGATGGGGGGCTTTAGGGGTCAGCGGGAGGAGACAGACTGGGGCCTGGCTGAGAAGAAGGTTCCAGGAAGAGGGGCTGGGGCCTGGTTTGGACTTTAGACAGTAATAAAGCAGAACTGAGCATGGGCACTGGAAGCCACCTAAGAGCTGGCCTTCTCCAATGTGCCCATTGCCACTGGGCAAAGAGGGGCTCCAAAGGGAACATGCCACCCAGGATCCCAGAGGGCCAGGCCCCGGACAGCCAGCAGTGCACCTGCTCTGCTGACCAGCTGAACCTGTTAGGCTGCAGAGGGGCTAGGAAGATATGAGGGTGGCTGGGGCCTGTTTGGGGAGGACAGTCTGGGGAGGAGCTCCGAGAAAGGAGCTCAGCATTACCCTTCTAAACGGGTCACCTGAAGCAGAGACCGAAGGATGTTTGGCAAAATCACACCCGGGCTTCTTCCTCGGGATGGCGAAGGATGGCTGGGGAAACAGAAATAGCAGGCATCCCAGACCCTCCGTGAGAATCCCTTGGAGCTCAGCCTCAGAAAATGATGGTGGCTTCCAAAAAGTGCTTCTGGAGTCCCTTGAGACAGTTCTGGTGTCCACCCTGGGCAAGTAGATTGGTGAATACTTGAGGGGCAGCAAGGAATGGTGGGGACCAGGGCAAAATGAGCAGAGGGACTCCTCCTCAATGAAAAGCAGAATAAAGAAAAATAAGGCAATTGCGTTCTGGCCAGACAACATAATACATCTGGGGCCATGCTCTCCCTACAGGTACCAGGTGCCTCTGTACCACGAGCTGTCTTCTTACCTTGGGGACACCACCCCAACTCTCCTGCCTGACCCTGGCCCAAGGTCCAGGATGGAGAATTGGTTTTTCAAGTCCAGGGGGTTCTTGCAGCCTTGCCTGACCCCTGGCCACCTCTTACCCATTCTCTATGCCCCCAGCTCCCGGCTCTTACCTCATCCCAGACCTGCCCAGCTCCTCCCCCAGTCTTGCCAAGATGAACCCTCATGTTGCTGCTCTCCCCTCCTTCACGCACTCCATGCCCTAGCCAGGCTCCTCCATGGCTTCCTGGCACAGCCCTCATGTGGAGTGATAAAATTGCCCATCCCAGCTGGTACTTCCCAGCAGGCAGGAGGAAGGAGAGCCAGTCTGGCACTCTCCCAACGCCTTGTCTCTTTCTTGGGGTGCCATGGAGGGCCCCATCTGGGGTCAGTGCACACCCCCAGGTTCAGCAGCCCCACCCCTCCCATGACCTGACCTGACCACTCAGAGTGCAGGAACTCTGGATCAGCCTCTAGTCCCACCCCGGCCACTCCCCGGCCTGGCTCACTTAACCAGAGACCCCAAATCCACCTGACCAGAGCTGCATTGTCACCACCATCTAGCAATCCCTTGTCCCCCAGCCCCAGCCTCTCAGTAGGTGCTCTTATGCTCCTAGAAGCCATCATCTGTCCCCCTTTGTGCCAAGGCCCAGCCCTGCAGCCTTCTCAGGGGACTTCCAAGCCTTATACTGCCCCGTGGCTCCTCAGACCGCACTTTAGCCCTACAGTTCACCCCCAGTCATGGTTTAATCTCAGCCCTACCCAACAGAAGTGGGGACAGGGTCTAGAAGACTGGTGCCAGAGCCATCAACTCCATCCCTGACTGGCTCTCTCCTGTGCCTCAGTTTTCCCTCTCACGATACCTGACTTAGTCCGTGTTCCCCAAGTGCTCTGGGCTCCTCGGAACCCCAGGCCCAGCCTCCCCCTCCTGTCCATGTCTGGGGACCGCCTGCGCTGGGCCTCTGGGGAGAAGCTGGACAAGGTCTTGGAGATGAGTGTCCGTGAAGAGCCTGCAACGTGGCTGTAGCTGGAGTTTGTTTTCTTCCCTCCCTCTCTCTGCTGCTCCTGCTGCTGCTGCTGCTGCTGCTGCTGCTGTTGTGTGTGTGTGTGTGTGTACATGTGTTTTCCCCCTGCTCCCTCACGGAAGGCATCCTCCCTTGTTGGCTGTCTGCTTCCAAGGTCATGACCTGAACCCCACCCTGGAGTGGCAGCCCCAGCCTGGCCCCTTCCAGCTCTGACTTCATCCAAAGCCTGTCCAGCTCCTGCAGACTGGGCCTGCTATGGATTTGACCAGTCTCTGGATGAGTAGGATAGTCAAGGCCCACACAGGGACCCCTTCAGTCTGGGCAGGGACTGGGGTACTGTCCTGTCTCTGAGCAGTAAGCAGGTCAGCTTCTCCCATATGCCCTTTGGCTCATGTAGCCAACCAGCAGTCTTTTTCTGTTGATTTTCACTCAATATACTCAATTCTCTCCTAGAACATCATAGTTGCTTTTTTTTTCTTTTGGTACCAGGGATCGAACTCAGGTCCTTGTGCTCGCAAAGCAGGTGGCGGAACCACTGAGCTAAATCCCCGGCCCATAGCTGCTTATTTTTCACATGAGAAAACTGAGGTTCAGGAGGCAAAGCCCTTAATCAAAGCCACACATATTTGGCAGTAGAGGCAGATCTGGAACCCACGCCTCTGGCTGGCAAGACCCCCATGGACTGTAGCAACACGTCACTCTTTGGGGGCGGGGTGGGCTCTTCTGGAAGTCCCTTGACCTCCTTCAGCCTCAATGGCCTTGTGCTGCTGGCCTTTGTTTCAAGTCACCATGACTTTCTTATTCCTCAATCTTTGTGGGCTTGAATGGGGGTCTACTAGTTATCTGGACTCCTAGCAGCAGCTGTTTAGGTGATACCCAAAGTAGATGCTAAGAATTTTTTGAGAGCATTTTATACTTTCCAAAAGCTGTCCATGCCAAATCTCTCCTGGAAAGGAGGTGTGGAAGGCTGGTGGTTTGAAGTGCAGACTTTGGCCTCATTCATAACCACATTGGAGGTTTGGCTCTGCAGCTTGTGGGCTGCGTACCTTTGGGGGAAGCAGCCAGCTGCTGGCCTGTTTCTTCATCTGTAAAATGGGAATGATGGTAGCTACACAGTGGGTTTGCTAGGAGGCCACTGTGGTTCCAGGCACCCAGCAAGTCTTCTACACCCCAGCATGGACTGTGTTGATTTCCCTGGGAAGGAAGGATTCTTGTCACCATTTCACAGATGAGGAAACTTTGGCACACTCCAGGGCTAAGTGTGAAATGAGAAAGAGAGGGGACATCTCTGTACCCCACGACCTCCAGTTTCAGGAGAGCTGCAGAAAGATCAGGTGGGGTTGGGCTGGCAGTGTGCTTGCCATCCTTGTGGTCCCCCACAAGGCCTGAGCTGGGGCAGCTGCTGACCCAGCCTCACCGCCCCCAGGAGCTGATTCACTCCCGGGCCCCATCTGAGAAGGATGGGACATAGCTCAGCTCAGAGGGGCTTGAATCACCAGCCGCCCCCTGCGGAGCGCCCCCCAGGATGTGGGGGTGGGGGCCAGCCCCCTGCCTGCCTGTCTGTCTCTTTCCTGGGCCCCCAGGGCACTCAAGAGAGGGCTACATGGCAGTGGCTACTGACGGGGTGGCAGGGAGTTGCCCTCTCTGCCAGGCATCCTGTGTGGGCAGCCAGCAGCCGTTACTCAGCAGGTAAGCAGCTCTCTGGGCATCGGGAATTCCCCAAGACCAATGACCCAGATACAGAGAAACCCCCACTGCCCAGGCCATCCCCCTCCTCCCTCCCTCCTCCCGGCTCTGATCTCAGTTCTCTGAAAACCAGACTAACCTTAACCCCTGGCCTGGATGTTTCCACCTGGGAAAGGAGCACAGAGTTCTCAGATGGGCCTGAGGGTGGTGAGGGGTTAGTAGCCAGAGAGTGTTTCCCAAGATCAAGACTGGGGACAGGTAGCCAAAGGAGACAGGAGAACTCGGAAATTCCTGGCAAGCCCTGGCAGTTTGGTGTCCTGCCAAAAAAGGCAAAAATACCTCATTATCTGATATTTGAGAAATGAAAGTGTGACCACCTGTGGCCCCTGCCTCCACCCTACAGCTCGTGGAGCCATCTGGATACCTGGAGTTGGCAAATCAGCTTTGAGCAGAGTGGGGCTGGGCTGCTGGTGGTGGGTAAGAGCATAGCCTTATACCCAGGCAGACGTGGGTTCAAATTCTGCTCACACTGCAAACCAGTTCTCTGTTCTCTGACCCTGGGCAACTGACTTCTCTCTGAACCTGTATTTGATCTGATAACGAGGATGCCACCGCACCATATGAGGTTGCCCTGGGGACATTACCTGGGAAATGCAGATCAAGTGCTGGCCATTTAGACTCAAACACCATCCCAAGTCAGGCCAGCAGTGGCCTCCGGGTCCTCCCAGCACATAGAGCTTGGTGCGGGTCCTGGAGCCCCAGGGAGCCTCTCAGCCTCAGCAGAGATGTACAGAGCACCTCCCTGCCCCCATGGCCCTGCAGAGCCCAGCCACACCGGCCTGTAATCTGCCCCTTCCTACCCTCACCCCACCAAATCGCTGCCTGTGACCAGCAACACTCCCTAGGGCCACAGGAGCCAGAAGCCACTCTGGCCTCCTGCCAGCTGCCCCCAGCATCACCCTGACATTTCCCGGCTGGTTCTGCGTCAGGAATCAA